ATGCACAAGCACTTTCCACACAGTCAGAAGATCCAGAACATTTATGTGGGGGACAGGGTGGGCAGACCAGCGGCCTCCCGGCATCTGTTTCCGCATGTCCGCGGAGACGGAGGGAGCGAGACACAGCCACATCTGCCTCTGCAGCAGCGTCATCCAGGACCTGATGCGGGACACGCACACCGCCTGAGCGGCGCAGAGATTGAGGATCGTGTCGGCCGCCGCGCAGAGCTCCATCTTCTCCTCCTGACGCACCTCGCTCTCTGCCGCTCTCTTGGAGATGTTGAAGGCCAGGAGAGCGATGTTGTTGGTGGCAGCACCAGACTGTGCTGCACACTGATGAGCCCGATCAGTCCAGTTGACGAGCTGCTTGTCTGTCTCGTTGTGGGGGACAGGTCGCCGTCCGGCCGACCGTACCGCTTCGACACCGAAAACCCTGGAAAGCGCGGGCTCCAGTGCTGGAACCGGCGGGAAACCGGAGTCGGTCATCCCCTCCACCTTGGTCACGTCCGCGTAGGTCTTGACCGGAGCTCTCAGCTTGGTGGGGTCGCTGTAGGAAGATGTGAGGTACGACTGTACCACCGGGAACTGCGGCCAAACCGCAATTCGGCGACAGGCAAGGGGAGACGCGAACTGGCCCGCCAGTTCGTCCGGCGGGGGAGCCAGAACCTCGGGAACCATCAGTCCTCTGGCGTCCGCTGCCCGCCGGATGATGTCGGGGAGGGTGCTCATAAGAGCCCCAATGGCTGGTAGTGGCGTGGAGGAAGAGCGAGGAAGACCCAGGTCCCTGGATCCTTCCTCACTTGGGAGGTCTGAGTCCAGCCCTGCCGCTTGGGAGGGGTGGACTGGACCGCCACTGTCGTCTTCGGCCTCTGACGCGGGGTCGTCCGACTCAGGCCCAAAGTCGACGGGTTGTTCGAGCGGGACGTGGTCGGACAGCTCGAACCCTTCATCCGGTTCAGCGAAGAGATCAGCCCGCCGCTGCCTCTCCTCCACCGACAGTTTCTTGCATGCCCGGCACGCCGGCTCGGCCGTCAGAGCCTGGTTGGCGTGTTCAGCGCCGAGGCATCCCTCGCACGAGACGTGCAGGTCGGTGGATAGTATGTAGCCAGTATCGCAGACGGGGCAAATCTTCGCTTGGCCGGGCATCCTGCTGAGGTTCGAATTGCGTAGCTACTGCTCTCGAAAGCTGAAGAAAAAAGGGGAGCCGAGCACAGGTCCGTCCTCCCCTTTTATACGGACCTAGGTGGGGCCCACATGACGTGGGCGTAGACTATTGGCTCTTCAGAATGCGCGAGCGCGCGCGGGGGTACCCATCTGCGATAGCCTTAGAGGGCGGAGCTTACACGAAATAGAACATTGCTGCTGCTCAGCTCATTTGCATACTAAACAGTGATTGGTTGTTTACAGAGGAGGTGGGTCTTTGCTGCCTGCAGACAGTCTGCTCTGCACACAGCATGGCGCGGAGGAGGCAGAGATGAGAGACAGCTTGTCCATTTATTGGCAGATTTGATTTAAGGGGGCAGGGCATTCATCTGAGGGGGCACTGCCCCCTCTTGCCCCAGTGTAGAGCCGGCCTCGGGCTGGAGCTCTCTGTATTGTCAGATTCTTAATCCCAATAGAAGTAATTGCATATATAAGGGCTTCTTAGTTTAGAAACAGGTGAAGACATGCCAGCGTCATTGCATGGATGGCTACTCTTAATCCCTTGCAGCAGTATATCATCGTGGTAAAATGTTAGATTACAACATTTTTGTTGGAACAGCTTTTCTTTTCTCCTCCTGCTCGTTCGGGAGCAGAACAGACATCGTATCAAGGGCATTAATAAAAAATGTGGATCCATTTTTAATGATCCTGTGGTCCCCTTTATTTTAAAACTGATTTTTGTGCCCACGGTTGAGTTGTTATTTAATTTTTTTCAGTTTTTGTTCAGAATCAGGGTTTTACCTATAGCTATGTGAAAGAATTTTTTTATTGTGCCTGTACAAGCAATCCAAGGTATTAAAACTGCATGTAACTGACAGAATGTGAACGAGATGCTTTCTCTGTCTATTTCTGGAAGATAATCCTCAAGTATGGATCTGCAGGGACGAACAGGGGGAAAGAAAAGAAATTCAGTTTCACTATTTGCTTTGCAGTTAGACATGTGGCACTCAGGATCAATAATACAGTGTGCACCCAATCCGAAYATGTTGGAATTAATTTTCGGTTGCATATTTCTCTGAACTTGCTCAATTTGTTTCTCCAAGACACAGACAATGCTGCTTTTCATGTCATCACAGAGGAGTTGTGGGGAGAGACAAAAAGAGCAAAGCACTTCTAGAAGCTGTGTGATGATGGTTCTGCACACACACACATTTCCATACACACACAGTTATCTCTGCTCTCCCTCTATTAAGGGGTAGAGTGTGCATCTTCTCTCTGCAGCAGGCTCCTCTTCTGCTCATTGCTCTATCCCTCTCTCTTGCTTTGTTCATGCTGCGCTCGCCATCTGAAGCAGCGCCACACTGGAGCACTAATGAGCAGGCTGAGAGAGCGCAGCCTCGACGCACACATCTCCCATCAGCTGAGGAGAAGCAGCAGCAGCAGCAGCAGCTCCTGATCTGGAGCCACTGATCASCAGTCAGTTGACGGGGCGAAGTGAATGACATCGCTGGGAAAAGGCGCAGGAGAGGTCGTGAACAAACACATCAGCAGTCAGCAGAGAGAGCAGGTTGAGGTTGACCCTCGGTGCACTTTATTTGCTCAGAGAAGAAGCAGGAGCTCCACCATGGAGGAGACACTCACCTGTAGCCGGAGTCCTTTCTCCCAGGTGTTTGGGCGGCAGGGTCAGCTCATGCAAGCCAGTAAGTCTTAATATTCATAGATCTTTGCAAACATCTTTTGAATTGTGTTTTTTTTTTATTAATAGATACCAGTGCTGTCATTTGAGATCAACATTATGTAAGGAAGGTGTTTACTTAAGCAACAGTTGAGCGTGTCCCACTTTTTGAAATGGATTTGTATCTTTTCCTGCTTTAGCAGCTCCTGTTTGATTCAGCCCTTCAGTTTGTTTAATTTTGTTGCCCCTTTTATCGATATTCTGTCACCCTGAAAAGCACCAATAAGTTTTTTTTTTATTTATTTTGCTCCAGCTTCCTCAAAGGTTTTTGCTCACATATTAAGGCTGTAAATCAGGAGTAATGCGGTGTGGCGCGCCAGTGTGTTGACATTGATAGGCTGTGAGAGGGATGTCAGGTGTGAACATGTGTGTTCTGTGTGTGTGTGTGTGTGTGTGTGTGTGTGTGTGTGTGTGTGTGTGTGTGTGTGTGTGTGTG